TTGCTATGATCTGTCTCACCGAGACAGATCTCAAACAGATCCTGAGATGCTCCTGCCTGACATATTTATTTTATTCATGGAAAAAAAATCAGACTAGTGATTTTTATACATTCAAACAGCACATCACTCTATTTAAACATCTTACATGTAAATCTATGTCATTTGTCCATCCATTCATCCATTTTCATCCGCTTATCCGGAGTGGGGTCGCGGGGGCAGTAGCTTGAGAGGCCCAGACTTCCCTCTCCCCAGCCACCTGGACCAGCTCCTCCGGGGAAATCCCAAGGCGTTCCCTGGCCAGGTCCGCTCCGACAGCTTCTGGCGTTTTTAAAATGTATCCCAGGGGCATAGTAAGGGTCGGAGATGTTTAATCTATTTAATTTCTGACTATATAAAATGATTTCTTCGGTTTTAAAGTGTGGTGTAAACTCAGATGGTGTAAAATCCAAGCTGATCCCGTTCATTTTGTTTACCTTTGTTGCCTGCCAACATGGCATCTACTCTTTGAGAGTCACATGACGTCTGGAGCTCTATAGGTCTAATTTAGTGCTTAGGCTTGTACCAGACACAGGTGAGTCATCCATTTGGCATGTGCATCCTTCAGTTCGAAGGTAAACCAAATCATGTCAGATTCTATCCATCTGTTCTGTGGGGTACCCCAAGGCTCTGTTTTGGGTCCACTTTTGTTTCTACTGTACATACACGCTCTTGAACAGATACAGTAATTGATTATTTTAATAATGTGTCTTATTACCTATATGCAGATGACATTCAGCTGTACTGCTCCTTTAAGGATTCTGAGTTCTATAATGGGCCATTCCCATCTGTACCGGGTCGGCCCGGGCCGGGTAGCCCCAGTCGGCCCCAGCCTGGCCTGGTTGATTCCACACATCCTTGCCTTAAGCCCATGTGGGCTGATTCTACCCACCAATCAGAGGCTTGCTCTAATGGAAGGTGTGAATTTGCTGTCAGCAGTGGGTGTGTTGGCCCTGGTCGGCCGGAAGCAGACCCCCTCGAGAAGAGGGCTGAGAATGAGCCTTGGTTGGCCCGGAAAAATACCAGGCCACCCAGATATGTAAACAACCTACGCTACCCGGCCCGGACCGACCCGGTACAGATGGGAATGGCCCATAAACTGTCTGAATTACTAGTGTCTATAAGCTATCACCAGCTGGCTAGAAGGTAACTTCCTCCAGTTAAACTCTGAAAAGACTATGTCTGATCATTGCGCCTGAGAGCATGGTTCCCCTGATTAGTCTAAAACGTGGTCATTTATCTTCTGCCGTCAAGACAAGCTTTAGGAATTTGGGTGTTTTTGACCAATCATTGTCTCTTGAAGGTGTAGAAATAGCATACGTATGTATTTTGGGTGCTTTTAAAGCTCAATATACTACACTACATTTGACCAATAAGATGTGAATTTCCATATAAATATGGAAATCCAGTCTGATTGGCCTTTGAATGTTTAACCAGAAGATTTCGAATTCTTTGTTTATTCAGAGATTGTAAGACACTTCGTATCAATTCAGACAGAGTCAAGTTTATAAAAAGTAAGAAATTTATTTTCTAAACAATTAAAAACATGACAACTAGGAAACTATTTATGTGATGAATTAATCTAAGTGAATGGAATGTGAGGTGGGATGATGTGAATGTGATGTTATCAGAACCTTCATATCTCGAGAAACTGAGTTCTGAGTGGGAGGGAATTTGGTCTGCTATAACTATAGTGATGGTTTTTCAGACGCAATCTGTCGAGTCTACGTACCCTCTCGGAGACCCCCGTGGTAGATCCGGAATGTAGGGCTGCTCAATTAATCGAATTTTAATCACGATTACAATCTGAGTTTTGAACGATTATGAAAAACAAAACAAGCCGATTATTTGCTCCTCCCGCTTGCGCTGCCCTGAGTTGCAAATGAAGCGCTCCTCCCACAGTGTTGCCAACTTAGTGACTTTGACGCTATTTCTTTCAGACCCCCTTCTTGACTTTTTAACTTAAAAGTACCTAGCGAACACCTCAGAAACATCTCTGGTAACCTTTGGCTACTTTCTGGATAACCGTCGTCGACATTTCCTGCAGGTTAGAAAAACACTCCGCCTGCGCTCCGGACCGTTCTTCAGGACATTAGGAAAGGGAATGATGTAGTGACGTGTCAGTCGCTAAAGACAGCTCTCGGAGCCGGCTCCCTGTTGGATTTACCAGAGTGAGTGACACACACACACCGCACCTGCGGACTCCTGAGCTACTAAAAACGGCTAAATGTGCGCGTGCGGCGTGCTAAACACACGTGCAGCTTGCCACTGATTGCTGTGAGACCGGGTTGGGGGGTGGGGGGTGGGGGTGCAGCTGTGGTTGGGACAATTATTACATTAGCTGATGGACTTGTAAATAAATAGTTTATAAATAAGGTAGAAATAAGTTCCTCACGCTGATAAATAATAACTAATCTCTCTGATGACACGGTGCTAGTGCACTCTCCTACAGCACCTTGACACAACTTCAATAAATGTTATGCAACATTTTGTGAACATCAATTTATTTGCATTTATTTGTTATAAATGCCACTGTATAATTCTTGCTGTCAGTATTCGCAAGATATTGGTATTTGGGTCTTTACTGGTTAGACTTAAATGAGTTAAACCAAGGTCTATAGCCCTTGGGTCATAAACTATGAGCTATAAGTATATTGGTCTTTTTATACTGAGAATCAGGAGTTATTATAGTGATCATCTTGTTTCTTATTTTTTGTCCTGATTGTGCCCTGAGCAATTTTATGACTAATTAAAAACAAATAAAATCAACATAAATTGAAAAATCGTCCTAAATAATCGTGATCTCAATTTCAGTCACCATAATCGTGATTATTATTTTTGCCATAATCGAGCAGCCCTACCGGAATGTGTTGAAGTCCGGGGACCCCAAAGGTACCTAAGTCCGTAGAAGAAACCACAGTGACACTAGACCGGCCTTGAGATGTCTCCAGGTCACGACAGGTAGTTATTTGTGTCTATGGAGGACTCTTAACCCTCCCGCTGTCTTTATGGGTGACCCCGCGAGGAAAATTGACCATTGAGCAGGATTGATGGTTTATCCCTTGAGGTTCACGTGGCAGGGGTGAGGTGGTGCTCACTCCTCACCCCTGCCACTTGGACCCAAGGGATAAACCATAAAGACAGTGGGAGGGTTAAGGAGTTTAAGTTAGTTCAGCTTTGTTCTGAATGAACCGTTTGCGGTATCAGCTGTAGCATGCAACAGGTTTTGACAGCTTGTCAAAAGATGCGATACAAGCAGAGTTTCCCTCCAATGGCCAGTCAGAGTTAGGCTCAACTGAATTCCTCTGTAAGTAATGCTGTTTAAATAATGGCTATATTTTGGTTTACAGATAAATCAGAACTTTCCCTGTAAAGGGGTTTTGCCAACAAACTCAGATACACACCTCCCTCAGATATGAAGATGCTGATTTTGTGGATAAGAAAATATCTATGTGGAGTGACGTTAAAGGCACAGTCTGCATGATGACGCCGTCAGGGTGAGGAGGAGGAGATTTTTAAATTCGAACGGCTGTTGCTCACTCCCCCGCCCTTCCTGAAAGAGCCGAAAGCCACACCTCCCAATGTGCACGCGCAGGAAAAGCAGAGTCAACACCAGAGCATTGCTTCTTGTAATAGAGCTGAGCTAGTGTTAGCAATGGAGTTATCTGAGGTAAGAAAGTTGTATTTAACCAGCACATTAAACACTTACTGTTAACAAAAGGCATTTTATAAAGAATATCTATAAATATATTTATATTTTAAAATACCAGTAACAGTTGGCAATCTATATTGTAAATAAAATTAATCCTATCAAATTGTTAGCATTTTATTACAAGTAACTAGCTAATTTTTAATTGCTTTGCCATTCAAGATGGGATGAATATATCAAAGCATATAATTTATGTGGAAATCATGAATAAACACTGCATTCTGTGTAGTCCTCCTATAATCATGGTTGTTTTCATAGGGTTTCTGTTTATTGTTGGTTTAGCCCAAATTTTGACTAGATGTAAACCTGATCTGTGTCAAAATTGATTAATATGCAAGAGTACTTTTTATATTAGTATAATTTTTTTATTCTAATACAATTTAGAGTTCAGTGATTGAGGAATCCTCTGAGGAAGAGTTTGAACCTCCTATTGCATCCTCAAGACGTGGTGCAAAAAGGAGATGCCCACCATCGTCTCAAAGCCGTGGTGCATCCAGAGGCCGTGGTGCATCCAGAGGCCGTGGTGCGTCTAGAGGCCGCGGTGCATCCAGAGGCCGAAGAAGTGTGAGACACTCAGCTGTGGACCTTGGAGATGAAGATCTCTCTCGAGTTCGGAATCTTTGTTCCGAGCGAATAGACTTTGAACGTGTAAGCATAGCTGTTGCTGTAGCATCTCTTTCCACTTTTGTAGCAACACATACAGAACCTGAACCCTCAGCAGGCTATTGACATCCTTACCATGGTGCTGGACAGAGACCCTGGCGTTCTCTTTGATGTACTTGCCCTCTCTGGTCCACCTGCCACAACACCTCCAACACCCAATCAACCTTCATGGTGTGTATGCTCCCACTACAGAGATGCCAACTGATTTGGAAAAGAAATGCTGCCAACAGCCTCCCCAGACATGTATTTCAACAGTACCACACATGGAGGAGTTTATTCTGCAAAATTCCCTGACCCTACACTGGTTTTATTCCAAGACGATTGTAAATAAATGTATATATTTGATATTTTACATAAGTTTGTTTTTATATATTTTTGTTTGATGCTCTAATAAAGTGTTCTAAAGCACAACTCTGTGTTGCATTTGTAAAAATACCATAAATTTTAAAACTCCTGCACAACAACAAAAAATTGAGTCTACCTCCAACATTTTACATACATTTTTTAATTATTAGTCCTTATTTCCCCAAAATATATCTTTATTTAAAAAAAACACAGGAAACAAAAATAAAGAAGGTTTTGGGTTTTCTCTTGCCTCCCCCAATACCTATATCTGTGGCAAAGTTTTACCTGTAAATAAAAAATAAACTCAATTAGCAATGGACTATTGTGTGGAAGATGTAAGGCAGATAATGTTTTATTTTACCATCACCGCAAGTCCGTAGGTGTTGTAGAAGTTCCTCTGTTGATGGTGCAGGAACTCCGGACAGCAAACCATAACGCCTTGGATCCTCAGGCCTTAGCTTGTAGCGTCGAGGAAGACCTTTCTTGCTTGTCAAACGTCGGTCAGTTGCTTCTGGGATATTACAGTCATGAACTGTATCCTCTATGTTAATTTCTTGCAGAGTCTCAAGTTGTAATGTTTTTTCTAATGCTGCTCCAGTCCTGTGAACAAAAGCTTTTTATTAACTATGCGCTATTGCAGTTTTATAGAATGTTAAACGAAAGGAATTACCTTATGTGTATATAAGGTGTGTAGTCCTCATCACCGCTGTCATCAGTACCGCTGTCCATCTCGATGGTTTCGTCCTCCTCTGAAGACGAATCAACTTCTGGTTCTCTGTTTGGTGACCGTGTGTCATCTGATGACTCTATCCTGAATATACACAATATAAAGTTTTTAGTATGGAAAATTAGACACATTTTATTAACATCTGAATACTTACACAGAGTTTTGAATATTGTTGAACTCTTCCTTGTCAATGTTTGCTTCAATTCCCACACAAGATAACCTAAAAAAGTAATTATTGTTTACTTTTCCTGACAAATGTGACAGCCAAATACAGATACAACCTTGTACTTACATTTGTGAAGATCCTTCTTTTTTAGTTTCACCTTGTTCCATCACCTCCTCCAAATTATCATCCCTATGAAAATAAAATACAAGCACAAGAATATGATTAGAATCAATACATATTTTGTCATTTTGAAGGTAATAGACCTTGTCTATTGGCCGTCATCATCACCCTCTCCTTATTTTTCTCATTACGCATTTCTCTGTATCCACTGAATTCCTTCTTTACAAATAATTTCCTGTCTCTCTCTTTACATTTTAAAAACACAATTGTGTTATTTTTTTCTCATAAACTGAAATAAAAATATAATTTTTTAAAATATGTTTAATTTTGTTGTTGTGAAGTGCCTCAAGAGTTTTATCTTGAGAGGCGCTATATAAAATGTAGTTTTACTATTTATTTCTATACATTTTTTATAGTCATTCGTTATCCCATTTCTAGAATTTTTTCAAAATAATCCACCACTAACTTAAAACAGAGGCAAAATTATAATATTCCTGGTAGAGGTTTATAGGCAGCCATTTACCTTTCAGATGATTCTCCATGAATGCTAGACAGAGCTGGCACTGGTGTTGGAGAAATACACAGTTGGCGTTTCAATGGTGTAGATGTTGATGCTTCATATTTGGACTGATGACTGTAAAAAAACAAAGCCCAAAAATTAGTGATCACAAGCTAAACAAGTCTCCCCAGCCTTCACAGATTTTTGCACGAGCTGATTATCATTCCTTTTATTTTAATATGGAGTTTTCACGTAGGTAAGACCACAAACTCAGACGGTAATCTGTACACGTGGCCCACCCAGGTTAGCACAATATGTCTTTCAGTGCTAATGGAAACGTAAGGTTTTGGATACGTTCCTGATCAATCACACCTAATTCTAACTGCTGAATCATCTCCTCAGACTTCTACAAGTGCTACATGAGCTGCTGATTACTCATTTTAATCAAACGCGCAGCTCAGGAAAGTGTAAACATCTAATTCAGCATTCAAGATGCTAACTGAACCCCGCTAACGGGGAAGTTATAAACAAGAGCTTAAAACAATATACTGATGTGGCCTATAGTTAAACGCCACACTAATCATTAGCTCCCATATAAAAAAAAACTAAAATCCCCTTTCGTTACTCAAACTTCTTCCAAATATAGCATAACTATTTTGACTAGCATCGATTCATGTCAACTTAGCATTCAAGCTAATGCTACATTAGCCAATAGGACACCAAGCATACAAAGCTTGTTTGCTCTATTACTTCTTTCAGTGAAAGAAAGATTATAAGTAAATTTATCCAAAAAACAATAAATAACTTACCTGTCTAAAAGATACTTAGCCAACTCTTCATCCGTTTTCAGGCCGTGCAGATCACGAAAATCTCTCCCATCGTGTGTAAAACAATCTCCAATGTAAATTCTACTCGACTGTCTTAAACGTCTTACAGCCACTTTTGAAGAAGGGCTTTTAAACTTTTTAAATGTTTTTTGAGATGTGGAAGGCAGTCGAGGAATCGGTAATTTGGGGTTTTGTTGCTCCATGTTTCTGCAGTAAGCCGAGTGAGGCGCGTGACACTGTTGTGCGCTGAGACCTGCTCGTGCTCGATGATTGACAGCTGCCCCCTGGTGGAAACACAGCGCTATTGGTCAACGCGTTAGGCTTGCAGAAATATTGGCTGAGCTCTACAGGGCAGGGGAGGGACTTAGGAGAAAATTGAAATATTAAAGATTATTTACTTTTTTTAATAAAATTGGGTCAGATGGTCAAAATCAAACATTTTTAAAGTTATTCTACATTTAAATGTTGCAGACTGTGCCTTTAATTATAACTTGCGTCATTGAGATATGAAGAGTGTGTCTTGTCCAGTCAGTGTGCTGATTAAATATACGGGTCATAAATTTCATTTCATCCTTGTTAATGTTTCAATGTAACAATAATATTCATTTCAACTTAGTAATTTAAGCACAGATTAATCAAAACATTTCATTTACCCATATTGTCCATTTCATTATGTGATTAGTTACACATATTTTCCATCCATCTTGTTCTGTGAGTAAAAACCAGTCTTAGATAAGAGTGAGCTTGCGAGGGACCTTGGCCAAGCAACAGTATCTGTCTTGCAGATTGAAAGCACAATTTAAGACTTATGTCTCCAAATGGCCAGATACTGAAGAGGTCAGACTATAGATGGAAAAACTGACCATTCCTGGAGGCTGAAAAGGGCATTCAAAAACATTGGTCCAAAACTGTTTTTATCATTTAAAACATTAACTTGAAATGGTTCTCCATGCCTTTGTCTCCTCCCGTCTAGCTTACTGTAACACACTCTTCACATGTTTTAACAAAAAAGTCCTTGACCACCTTCAGTTTGTCCAGAACCCTGCAGCGAGGCTCCTAACTGGAGCAAACAGAAGAGCACACATCACTCCTATTCTAATGCCTCTGCACTGGTTACCTGTTAACTTTAGAGCTCATTCTAAAATCCTGACTAGAACTTTCAGGGCTCTACATGGTCAAGCTCCTCCCTATATTACTGAACTGTTAAAGCCTTATGCTCCAAACTAGAGGGCTGCATTGGGATTGGGTCCCGCCGGGTCCCGCGGGACCCAACACAAATCTCGCGGGAGCGGGCGGTTTGAATTTTGCTACGGGCGGAAACGGTCGGTTAAAAAAAACAGTGCGGGATCGGGATAAGCATGATGGAGTCGGCAACTGACGTTGAAAGGAAGCTAAAACAAGGTCTTTATGACACGAAAATCAAGCAAGGCAAGTCAGACATTTGGAGGAGTTTCTCAATTGTTTGTGACAAAGCTGGAAACGAATTGGACTTTGTCAGTTGCGACAAATGCGCGAAAATACTCGTCTACAACGGACACAAATCTGGCACCTCTGGGTTGAGGCGGCACACCTGCTCTGTTCTCCCCGGTCAAAGTAAGCTGCTTTTCAAGGATAAACCACTTCTCCCTGCACAAATTAAACAAGAAACTGCTGAGAAATGTGGGGAAGTGTGCTGCGCAGACATACGACCGTATGATTTTGTTGCCGGGAAAGGCTTTGTTGACATAGCGCAACATTTTGTTAATGTTGCCGCTAAATATGGCAAATTTGATGTAAAAGATATTTTGCCTCATCCAACCACTATCCAGACATGTCGAGGGGCGAGCAACAGCGCTGCAGGCGTCAGTGGCAGCGGAGATAAGGCCCATCATTGAAACGTACGGATGCGCCATCACAACAGATGTCTGGACGGAGGATTATCATAAAACGTCATTTATATCCGGCACCATCCATTATGCAAACAACGACTTCAACCTAGTTTCCAGGGTGTTATTTGCTGCTCCGTTCGAGAGCGGTGTGTCAAAAACAGGGGAGAATATCAGGAGCCTGCTCTTCCAGAAACTCAGTGAGTTTGGAATAGATGCGACACTTCTGTCTGGCCGTGTTGTGTTTGTCACCGACCTTGGAGCCAACATAGTTGCTGCCCTGCCTGGATACACAAGGCTGAACTGCAACGCGCACATCCTGAACGTCACTCTGTCTAGTGCATTTTCACCAGGCGTGTTGGATGAAACTGCTGAGCTGTCTGAACTGTTGACCAATGCAAAAAAACTGGTGAAATATTTCAAACATTCAGGTCTGCAAAACAACTTGAAAAAATCTCTCAAGCAGTCAGTCGAGACCCGATGGAATTCAAATTATGACATGTTGGATTCCATACTTCAACAGCATGAGGGAATCTCCACATTACTGCTGAGCAATAACCAATATGAAAGAATTGTGCAGATCAATGGAAACACTCTGAAAACAGTAGTTGCATTTCTTAAGTTATTTAAGGATGCTACTAATGACCTAGAATCCGTCAACTCCACTCCCAGCTCATCACTTCCACTGCCGTGGTCTGTGAGACTCATTGAACACTGCCAAGCTCTATCCCACGAGCCCTTGCTCTCTAAAGTCGCCAATGTGTGTGCCTCACGTCTGGAAGAACTTATGGGCACCAGTGACACATCTGCATCCCCTCTCCACATGATGTACAGGATTGCAACACTGCTGACTCTTAAAATGCGACTGCTACGGATGCTGCCCTCAGACGCAAGAGAAGATGTAATCAAAGGTATGCTGCCTAGCTTTTTATAAAAACAGAAAATGGCATGCAATGCAGTTATAATTAAAATTATATTTAAAATGAATTTTAAAAATAGAAGGAGAAATAAGAATGAATGAGAGGCATAATAGCTAAATGAATGACACGAGCCATTTTTTAAATAAATAGTAATTAATATATGAATAAAATCCTTTTTTAAAGGCGCAAAGGATATTATTCAGAAGATGCAGTTTGACCTGGTCCCAGCCACAGCAGAGGATGAGTCACCACCAGCCAAAAAGCAAAGCACAGAACGATTCGCAGACTGGGAAGATGACGCGTCATTTGCATCAGCGCCAAAGTCGGTCGATGATGAAATTTCTGAATATCTCACCTGCCGGCTCTCTGACAACCCAGACCCAAACAACGTGCTTCAATGGTGGAAGTTCAACAAAGAGCGCTTCCAAGCGCTCTCAAAGCTGGCACGTTTCATTTTCAGTATCCCTGCATCCAGTGCACCTTCAGAGCGCGCATTCAGTGTCTGTGGGCGCATCTTGGAAGAGAGACGCACAGGATTGGGACCGCAGTCGGTCAGCCACATTCTCTTCCTTCGCAGCAATATTCCAACCAAGTAATTAATCAGTAAATTTAATTTTTTGGTTTTTATAAGTTATCTTTGAGTGGCTCAAATAACACTAATAGATAACAATCTGTTGCTATTTGTTAATTAGGTGCCTGTGTTACTGTGCGGCATGCCTAAGTTTGAACGTTTTTATTTTATTCTATTTTTTCAAACAGAACACCTGCAACATATGGCAAAAAACTTTAAATCTGCTGTTTTTCATGTTTATACGGTACTTGTTTTGCAAAGCGGTCTATTTTATGTACAATGTGATTGTGTTAATTTTTTATACACATGTATAAAAACGAAGTTATTAAAAGTCACTGCGCTGTGTTGTCTATATGCCGATTGTGCCAATATTTCTCATTCAGGTCTCTTAGAAAAGAGGCCTCGATCACTGCGTGATTACAGAGGAGAATAGAATATGAAACGGCCTTGATTTTCCTTTAAGCACCACACAGTAGCTCCTTTATTATTTTTTTTTAAAGAATTTTATAATTTAAGTAGTGAGGAGTTATTTGAAATCGCATGCGCCGAGGTGTCACCGGTGATCCTGGTGACGCCTCGGCGTTAAATGGTTAATCCTGACCAAGACGTGCAGGCCTGAGAAACGAAACAAGGATTCATGTGGTTTCCGTATCCAATAAAATGACATGTTTTCTCCAGAACCAGAGAGGTCACAAACTCAATACATCTCTTTTATTGGGAGGTAATAATTTCTCCGGGTTTTGCGGTTGCGGACGGGAGTGGACATGCACACTGCGGGTGCAGGCGGGAGTGTAACATACACGTTGGGGTTGCGGGCGGTAATGGTCAGAAATTCAGCGGGAGCGGGCAGGAGCGGGATGAAGAAAACAGTCCCGCGCAGGGCTCTACTCCAAACCGAGCCCTCAGGTCCACCCACCAGAACCTTCTAGAAGTTCCAAAGACCAGATATAAAAGTCGATGTGATCGCTCCTTCCAGACTGTTCCACACCGACTTTGGAATGATCTTCCTTTATCCTTACACAGCATTGACAATCTGTACTCTTTTTAAAAAAAAACAGCTGAAGACTCTTTTATTTAAAGCTGCTTTTACCTAAACCTTGTATTTTCTTTACTCAAATTTGTAATCATCTTTCATCTGTTTTATGAAATGTTATAATTCTATGACTTTATTTTTATGACGTTAATCTATTTCTGTTTCGAGATCATTTTGATTTCATGACTTTGTTTTAATTTGTTTTGATCTATGTGAAGCACTTTGGGATTTTATGTCTGAGTGCTATAGAAATAACATTTACTTACCTACTTACACTCATTCACACACTGGTGGGGATGAGCTATGATGGAGCCACAGCTGCCCTGGGATGCACTGACAGAGGCGGGGCCTGCCGAACACAGGCACCACCGGTCCCTCCGACCACCACCAGCATGCAAGGCAGGCAAAGTGTCTTGTCCAAGGACACAACAGCTGCATTCTCTGGTGGGAGCCGGGATTGAACCTGCAACCTTCAGATTACTGGACAACCCGCTCTTCCTCCTGAGTCACTGCTTTGTAGAAATAGGGTTGCAAAAAAGATGCTGAATTGTTTATGGATAATTTAAATAATCATTAACGTGCAAAACAACACAGTTCAGGCACTTTTTATCCAGATGGTTCTACTCAGGTGTGCCTTTAGATGATGTAAAGATGGAAGCTATCACTTTGTTTACCTGACTCTTTGTATTTGCTTTTATTGTCTTGCAGATGGTTCAGACTTTAGCCAGTAATGGGGCCAACTCCATATGGGAACACAGTCTCCTGGACCCTGCGCAAGTGCAGAGCGGTCGAAGGAAACCAAACCCTCAGGACAAGGTCCAGTAAGTGTTTTAGCTAGAGAGGCACTAGAAAATCAGCTGAATAGAGTGCTGATTTTGGAGGAGGATGGAGGAGCAGCAGATCTACTCGGAGCCCCTCCCGGATGACAGAGCTTCTTACCATACCTCTAAGGGGTAGCTCAGACACCCTGCGGAGAAAACAAATTTCGGCCGCTTCTATCCTTGATCTCATTCTTTCGGTCATAAATAAAAAAGAAATCGTAACCATAGGTAGGAACGTAGATCGACCAGTACAATGCCACAGCAGTGTCCCAGCAAATACAGCACCAATCAGCCCACCGATCCTGTGCTCCATCTTTCCCTCACTGGTGAACAAGAACCCGAGATAAAAGTCCTCCACTTGCGGCAGGACCTGGGGAAGGCATTTTACCCTTTACCGACTCAAGACTATGGTCTTGGATTTAGAGGAGCTGAGGAGCTTGTCACTGAATGCAATTGAGTAAATTATTTTCCACTTTACAAATTGAGAAGGGAGCTCCTTTGTGTCCGGACGGAACAAACCCAGTTGGGTACATAATGAATTCCTGGAAGGTGCCTCTTGTTGTTTTTCGTGGAGGAGTCTGTTACAGCTGTTGCTGTTTTGTCCCAGAAAGCTGACTCTGCAGAGGACAATCAGTGCATTGCCTCCACCTCCTACTTGCACAGCTGCACTCACTTAGGCTGATCACCTCCTGAGCAGCATAAAAGGGAGAGCTGCCGGGAGGAAGGGAGAGACTGGATCTGTGCCAGTTCTCTCATGTGCTCCATTTGTTTGTATTTTAATGGCTTTAAAATGGGTTTTAGTTCTTTAAGCTTAGTGAAGCTTAAGAGCTTTTAGAGGTTTTTAACAGACGAGGGACCAGAGTGCTGGTTTCTAGTGATGATGATGTGAAGCCTTTTGAACCAACAAAGCTTTAAAATCCAATTGTATTGAAAAAAGGTTCAAGGGTCGATTCTTCAAAACTCTTTGAGGACATCTGCTGGTAAATGTTTGTATTTCATTGTATTGTTTTTAGCCAATTCTACTGAAAATGAATGGTGTATTGAACTTTATGGACAAATAAAGCATTAAGAAGCTTCCTCAGGATCATATAATAAGAGTATCTTGAATTTGAACATTACATTAAATATAATAAAATTGCTTTTCTTGGTGTGAATACTTGAAATGAAATGATGTTTATTTGGGACAGTGCATGTTAATGGACATACATGTAGGGACAACATGAATGTCAACAGACCAGATTGTAGCCTAGGGCAGATTTCCATCTGTAGTCCCGAGGACTTTGTGAAGGTGATTTTGGTGAGGGGGGTTGTGAACAGGTGGTTGTGCTTGGTGACAATATGGGGATCAAATGTCATTTTTATTCAAAAACAGAATTTGTTCAACAGTTCCAGGGCTGAGCCTATTTCTTTTTTTGCTGACAACCTCCCCAACTTTGGAAAATACCCTTTCACAGGGAACAGAGGATGCTGGGATGCACAAAACCTCCTTGGCAAGTACATATAAACTAGGGTACACATGTATCTGTTTAGCCCAATATTTAAGAGGGTCCTCCCCTCTTGGAATGTTTGGTTCCAGAAGATATCGGTGAACCTCGACTGTGGCATTTGCTGTGGCACTGGACACCTTCCTTTTCTCTGAGACCTGGCTGTCCAGCATATCCCACAGGCCAGCCACTGAAATAATCAAAAACAAAGTGTCAGAAAAGGGCACCATATGCATGAGAACTTTAAGCTGTTACCTGAGGATTCTGACGATGAGGAAGCTGCAGGCTGTAGTGGGTCAAGGGTTGTGCTACTGTTTCGCAGCAGAGTGGCACATTTGGCGGTCAGTCTTTTTACCGCAGTCTCTGAATTTGTAGCATTACAGAACCCCATCACCTTGAATCTGGGGTCCAGGAGAGTGGCAAGAGAATGTTGATTGGCTGTCTCATAGTGGCTAAGCTTTTCGTTCATGAGCTGCACAATGTTACTACACAGTTTGCTGGCCACAACACCCCTGACCTGCCTCTGCTTTGAAGTGATGCTGTGCCTCAGCATACGAATTAAGGGTATTACTTTTGACCCTGACATGGATTTCTCTGCCGACAGCTCCACAGTTGCTTCTTTTAAGGGTGACAATACCTCAAGGCATTCAGAGATGGCGTTGTATTCTGCAGAGGTCAGGGGAGCCACATCAGTATGTAAGGACGCCAGAGCTGCACCTACTGGTTCGCGCTGCTTATACAGCCTGGACAACATATCAAAAGTGCTGTTCCATCTTGTGTCCACCTCCTGAATCAATTTATGGACAGGGGCCACTGCCTCCATCTGCCTCTGTAGGAAAAGCAGCCTCTCTCTGGCCAAAGTACTGGTTCTGATGTAGGCAGCAACCTTTCTGGCCTTGCCCCTCATGTCCTCAAGACCAGGGGTCAAATTAAGGGCCTTCCTTACTACTAGATTCAGGGCATGTGCAATGCAGTGACTGTGCCTTGCATCTAAGGCCTAGTCCACACGTAGCCGTTTTTTTTTTAAAACGAATATCCGCCCCTCCAAAAACTTGCATCCACACCACCTCGTTTTAAAAAAAAAACTGTCCACACGTACCCGTATAAATACGTTGTTAAGGACATGCCAGACCTGTAGGCGGCAGTACTTCCCCCGTTCTTAACCTCGTCCTTTGTGGTCTTCCGCAAGGAGCAGTAATTCTGCTTGCAAAAACAAACAAGCATAAAGCGCTTGGACAATTGATAAAGCAAGCGCAGCTCTGAGGGCATCCATGCTGTCGGCTACTGTAAACACAGGTCGCACACGTGATGTCAGCATTTTTTTGTCGCGGAAAGTGACGTTGCGGACCTTAAAACTCCGGTTTTGTCTGTCCACACGCAGACACCCAAAACGGAGAAAACGCAGATCTTCACTTTGGCCGGAGTTTTTAAAAAGATCCATTTTCGTGTGAAAAAACTCCGTTTTCGTGTGGATGACAGGCCAAAACGTAGAAAAATATCTACGTTTTGGCAGATCCCCGGCTACGTGTGGACAGGGCCTAAATTATTTGCACATGCCAGCGTGTGTGCAGCACCATCAGTCACAAGGCACATAAGTTTGGACTGTATGTTCCATTCCCCCATCAAAGTAGCCAAAACTTTGGCTATGTTAGCTGCTGTAGGTTTCTCAGGAAAATTCCCAACAGTCAGTAGAAGTTAACTCATCACTTTCATTAATGAAATGGCAGGTTATGGCATGTGAATAGATGTCCACATGTCAGATGTCAGACTAACTGCAGGGGCTTTCTGAATGATTTCCTTGGCCTTCTCTTTCTCCCTCTTATATCTGACATCAACCATGCTCTTCAGGGATCCAAAAGGCTTACAAAGGCTCTGAACCCTTTGTCATCCACAATGCTAAAAGGCTGCAAATCCTTAACAATCATATTGACCAGGGCTTCATCAGTGTTGTCCTTTCTGCTGTCTACAATAAAACAAAACAAGTTATTTAAACAGATAATGTGACATTAAAACACATACATACTGACATTTACCCTGACTGCTGGCTGCAGCTCGAGCAGAAGTGTCATGCTTGGCACGAAACTGCCTCAACATTGATGAGGTGTTGTTATTGTAAGCCAGATGTTGGTTGCAAATAACACACTGCACCTACAACACATAACAAATATTATTGAAACAATAATTTTTTATGGGATACGTGATGAGATATATCTAATTTACACATATTCACATTCTCTACATACTAATATATTTTACTTTTCACATTTCTATTGGATTATTAGGCAGGAATAATTAGCTCAATTTATGTATCTTTTTTAGAAATAGAGTAACAAACTGAAGATTAGAAAATTCACATAAGGATAGGACATACTAAATTCCATTACATGCACAACCAAACTGAAATCAACTATTATATGAATTACCAATAAAAGAAGAAAAATCATACTAAACTTTTAATTTAATTAAAGGAAAATGACAGACGGTCTAAAAGATACAGCCCTACAATATGCACCAAGTATTACTACTATAAAGGTAATTTACTAGACTAGACCATATACATTTTCAAACCTTATTTGGAGAGATTAAATAGAAACATTCCCACATCTCAGAACGCCCTCTTTTTGCTACAGGATCCATTTTTGCGACTCAGTGTTTAATCACTGAATACTGAATCCTAAACCATCAATCTCAGGTCATACAAACCTGCGCCTCTCGGTTTGCGTTGCTTTAAATGTTTGAAATGACGTGTGAAGTGGTCACGTGGGTGGAAGGGTGAATCGAAGCGTCGTCGCTCATTGGTCACGTGACTTTCAGTAAGCAAATCAAGCTTAGACACAGTGCTTTGCTCTGCGGTGGTTCGTTTTGGTGATACAAGCTTCGAATCCTGCGTGTCACAGGTAACATCACCACTGGTTTCCTCTTGGCTCCCAAACTTGTGTGTAAGTCAGTGGACTTTGTTTGTGAATGTTTGGGAGCATTCGGATGTCTGTTTTAAACGTAAACCCTTGGCCATTTTAACACTGTGTTTTAAGTACTTTTAGAATTGGAGCTTTTGCTTTTATTGTAACTCTCTTTATGCTGTACTGGGTCAGTCATCACTGCATCCTCTTCAGACCGTGCAGAACTGAGCTCTAGGTTTCTGACTGGGTCTGGGAAATGGGATCACATCTGTCTGGTGCTGGCCTCCTCACACTGACTTCTGGTCTGTTTTCAGGTATGATTTAGCCCTCCCACTGTCCTAATGGGTGTGACCCCGCGAGGAAAGTTGACTGTTGAGCAGGGTTGATGGTTTATCCCTTGAAGTCGATGTGGCAGGGGTGAGGAGTGAGCACCACCTCACCCCTGCCACGTGGACCTCAAGGGATAAACCATCAACCCTGCTCAAAGGTCAACTTTCCTTGCGGGGTCACACCCATTAGGACAGTGGGAGGGTTAAACTTTTGGGATTTGTCTTTGATTTCTTTCAGGGGGCTGCCCCCTCTACTTAACTGCGCTCCTGAATAGACATGATCCATC